ACTTTTTTCCTTTGTGCCCCTTCTGGTCTCTGTGAACAAGCTGCCACATGCCCAGGACTGCAATTGTACAGTATTTCTTCTCTTATCTGGGGGCAACAGCACAGGTATGTAATTTATGTGGTAACAGACAGCACCGGTTTCAGTTCTTTGCTTTTGAAAAGTGAGAATAGTGACACATAACTATGAATAGGTAGGCCCTATCAATAGTGCGTTGTATAAACATTAGAGAAAATAAGGTATCATCCAGCAGATATTTCAATTATTGTATTGTTTCCTAAAAGCATTCCTGATAACAAGGACACATAGCCTAACATTGTGGGAGACACAGGTATCGTCTTGGGTGCAAAAACCCACCCTAGGAGGGATGAGCCTGTTCCAGCTTCACACAACACATATTCCCCATCTCATTGTTGCTGGTTCACGTGAAGGTGGGAATCTGATTTTCTGGCTATCAGTTAGTCCACGGCAAATCTGGCAGTTGCCCAATGCGTACACCAGTACAGTCCCACCACGTACACCATGGTCCCACCTATAGACTTCCAAGACCTTTCCCATATGGTTCTTTTACTCCTGGAGGGAGATCCACTGCTTTATTCGGTATTCTTCATCTAACTTCTCCTAAGCATGGCTTGGCAAAGGCCTTACAGTCTGTGAGGGACTCCCAGCTTGCCCCAGAATATAAAAGGTCTCCCTGTGCATCCAGTGGGCTGGAAGAGAAAGAAGCCATGGAGTTATAGGAATTCCTGAAGGGCAGCAAGTATAGAGAACAGACAGACATTGTAAAAATACACACACAAAAATACTTCATTGTTTTAAATGCAAAAAGCATCTTCTGTTGTCAGATGCAAGCAAACTGCATTGCTCTCACATAGAGAGGTTGTTGGCAAGAAACTAGCTGGCCCATGTTTAAAAGCATTCCAGGGATACTTACCCCCTCGGGAGACCAGAAACACAAGAGAAACCATTTATATACAAACTGACACTGCTTACCCATACAAGCTTGAATTAGGGTTAAGGTTGTCACAGGCACAGGGAGAGCCCACCTTTATCTCCTAAGCACGCAGACCTGCCCAGGTGCTTTTGGACTGAATGTACTCGTTGGCCATCTCTTGGCTACATTCTCAGCATGACTATTCAGAGAATGACAACAACATAACTGTGAGCCTTCACAAGCGATTTCTGGGGTGTCTTGGATGGATACCAGGCATGTGTGAAGGAAACAGCACTTGGCTTGGCAGGTTTCCATAAGCTTTAAGACAAACCAAGTTGTCTCAAAGAGCCCTGAGAAACCAACATGTATCAATAGCAGCACGATTTACCCATGTGTGCAGTCAACAAATGTGAGGGTCCTTAGCTCTTTCTGCTCTATAATCCTAGGCCATGAGCGCACTTTTTAATCTTATTAAGAGCATATCCATTAAGATAAAACTAAAAGAAACACAGGCATTCCATACTAGAGTAAAAGACAAGCAGAAATAAAAAACAAAACAAAACAACCAACCTGTTTTCTGGTCATCAGCATTCACGTGGAACCCCTCCATCTGTTCTGACACTCAGCATTCCTGTTATCCACTTCCTCTCACTTGTCCAAACCAGTGTAAACACCTTGCTCCCTGGATGCTCACTGTCAGTTGCAGGCACCTCCAACTTCCACAGGTACAGCCATTTCCAGGGAGCTGGTTCATGGATAACCCTGTTAGGGAAGAGCCATGGAAATGCCAGCAGCCAGTGTGGGCTGTCACTTGATTGTTCTGATGTGGAGATCCCACTAATTGTAAGCACATCAGATCTCTCTCCTTTTCTGCAAATTCACCCACATCTCAATCCCTTAGCAGTACTTACATACATTTATATAAAAACCCCTCCATGCTACTATTTCTGTTTCATCCCTTCCCTCCCACCTCATGAACCCATTATATTTTTCAAATTCTTTGAGTTTAAAGCATATGAAAAGTTGATCATCACTGTCTGATCCCATCTGCTTCTGCATATACATACCACAAGCAGAAATTTCCTTGTGAAATGAAATGTTCCTGCTGAACATTTCCGCAGTTCTGTCCCAAACCCCACACTAATTGGCTTCTACACGTACACTCCTCTCCCTGCTTCCATTCTGTTTTTAACTTCATCACTCTCCTTCATCTCATCTTTTCCTGTAAACTCCAGCCAGTTTGTTGTGTACCTTCATTTTGTATTTCCCTGTCAGAAGTTTACATTCTTTTGAACTCAGCATCCCTCTTTTCCCAGTCCTGCACTCAGAAAGGATGTGAGAAGGACCCAGACTTTCCTCATTAGGGCAGAGAAGGAGTGGGACCCCTCCATGAGTAAAGGTGAGCTGGGAGCCAGGGATGAGAATACCACACAGCAAGACACCATCCCAAGCAGAGCAGGTCTACGGGTGGTAATGGTTTTGCCACCAAGCAAAAGCTAAGTGACAGGTCCCAAGTCAAGCCCGTCACCAAGTCAGAGGCATGGCTGGGTGCAGGCCCTACAACACAGCTCAGGCCAGGAGCGGGTGGGAGCCTCAGGTGAGGGCTTGTGAAAGCCTTAAGGGCCCTGGCACTCTGCTGTTGTATCTGCTCTGCAGTACCCTGCACAGCGACTGTGCCTATTCAAGAGATTCAACAGGGCACCACTCCAGGAGTTATAATCAGCCGTAAGTATTATTCTGGCATCTGCAAATAACTTTCTTAAAATATTGTTAAATGATAATTGGAGGAAAGATCACAAGCAAATAGAGTTCAGAATTAGCTTTACCCTGCCCTAATACATCCACTGATGTAGTAAGTGCCTTCATTCCCAGGCCCTCTGACCTCTGGCAAAGAGACAGGCATGCTTTCAGTTTTCCTGCTTTTCACTCACACTCCTAGCCTTAGCCACATTTAAGGTTGATCCGTAGATGCTCCTTAATGTCTCAGCTAATATGTTTGGACCCAATGCCCAAAGTCAGCTTTGTCTAGACTTAAGGTCCTTTTTGACTACTTGACATATCTGATGAGGCATATTTTCTCCTGGTGTTTGTTTCCTCCTTTTATTTGTTTATTTAAATCTGCTATTACACTGAAACAGTAGTCATCTCTTATAGTTATCAGACACAGAGAATATATTTAAAGATACACAGAGCAGCCATAAATCCATCACAGCTCCAATCTTCACCACATAACATTCCGACAACATTTTTTAAAACAAAAATTTAAGGCCAGTAAGAAAAATTGTGATTCTTCTTTCCCTCTCAATGAGAATAAGCCTCTCTGTCCAACCTACTCCCCTAAATCCTTTTGAACAAACAATCCTAAGCAAAGAAAGAAGCCATCCAAGAACAAGATAAAAAATACACACAGAAATCACAAAGTAACCCACAAAAAATACTTGGCTAATAAAACATTTTGGTAATCCCAAAGTGTTCTCTCTTCCACTTTAAGCTATTTAGCCTGTAGCTGTATCCTGAGTATGCCTATCGACATTTCTCCCAGGTGTTATGAGAATTATCTGAAAATACTGCTGCAGTTGACAGTGACTTGCAGGATTGCTTTTAGCAGCTTAGTACAGACTGCCAGAGGTATAGGGCACTCTTGAAAAAGTAATGCTACTGTGTCATACAACAAAGCTGGTTTAAGGCTTGCAGTATGTTACACTATGATAGCATCCAGCTTTGTGAACGTGTTGGAGTCTGCTGTACATAATTATCAAAAAAATAAAGAAGTTCCTCAAAGTTGAAGTTCAAATGATGCCTAAAGTATATATTACTGATTTGGTATCACATCTGAAAGATTACAAATGGGCATAGCAGAATTGGTGAGGAACTCAAGAATGCTGGGTAGAGAAACTCCAACAGATGGCTTTGGCAGGTGAACTGCAGTAACACAGGTGAAAGTTTGACTGAGCAGCTGCTACTAAATCTGACAAATCTGCCTGAGAGAAGAACCTCAAAGAGCTGGCAGGGGCAGCTTTGAAAGAATGCAGCAGAAAATCAGGTTGTAAAGTGGGAAGGTGCTTGCGAGAAAGTCCCTTACTACACTACTAGTAGCTGCACTAAAATAACAGCATAGCTATGTCAGTCTTCAGCTTTTTTCATAGCTAAGCACTTAAGTTTTTATTGCACAGTTGTTTAGGTCTCCAGTGAAATACAGTAAAAGAAGTACTTGTGAGCTCTTGTTTAATGCGCTATTTGGGACAAAAAATTATTGCTGGCGTACAAGGATGCCAGAGAGGGACTTTTCAACAGGGACTGTAGAGATAGCACAAGGGGTAATGTAAACTTAAACAGGGGAAGTTTAGGTTAGATATAAGGAAGTTTTTTTACTGTAAGGGTGGTGAAGCACTGGCACAGGTTGCCCAAGAAACTTGTGCCTGCCCCATCCCTGGCAGTGTTCAAGGCCAGGCTGGATGGAGTCTTGGGTGACATGGTCTAGTGCAAGGTGCCCCTGCCCATGGCAGGGGGTGTTGGAACTAGATGATCTTAAGGACCTTTCCAACCCTATTCTATGATACTGTAATTTCTGTTCAGGCAGGCATGTGATGGAGCGAGTGGAGTATCACTTACAGATATATAAAAGCAAATCTAGACCAGAGACCATTAGCTGCTGTAAAAGCCACTGATTTTGAGAAAATAAAAGGTGGTGACCTCTCAGAGACCATTCATGTGTGTAACTATCATTGTGGGGGCAGACAGCCCAGCTGAGCAGTCAGGGAAGGGCACTGGCACACTCACGCCTTTATTTCTTCCTCTACCGGACCCTATTCTGCACATACCCACCGGTTTGGCAGCTTGCTGTCTGTGTTGGCGAGGCCCGAGCGACTAGGGCAGGGCTCCCCTCACTCCCCGATCCCTGCGGGGCGTCGCGCTGTTACTCCAACTTGTTCAACTCGGTAAAGGCCAGCAGCTGGCGCCGGGCGGCTGCTACATATGGCGGTGCCGGGTACACCCGAGCTCGCTTCCCCACCATGGTCGGTCCCGGTCCCGGTCCCGGTCCCGGTCCGCGTCCGCCCGCTCTCTCGCGTTCGCGCTCTCCGCCGTGCCCCATGCATGTCCCTCCGCGCTTGCCGTCCCCCGGCAGCCAATCAGTAGTGGTGCGGCGGAGCGGGCGGGAGCCGGTGTGCGGCGGGGTCGGCCATGGAGGACGTGTGCGCCAAGTTCGTGTCGCAGAAGATCAGCAAGGCGCGCTGGCGGCCCCTGCCCGCCGCCGCCCTCCAGCCCCCGGACATCTTCGCCACCGGCTCCTGGGACAATGAGGTAGCGAGCCCGTAGGCGCAGCACGGCACGGCCTTCCCGCCGGGGCGTGGGACCGCCACAGCCCCCGTCGCTTCATGTCGAGGAGCAAATACGTTCGGGTAAAATTGGTGGTGTTGTTTCCATACAGGATAACAGGATTTCCGTTTGGTCTGTTGGAGACCTTGGAAATGCGGGCCTCAGCGGGGAGTACCAAGGAGAGCCTCAGCTGCTGTGTGACATCCGGCACAACGGTGATGTTATGGACATGCAGGTAAAACAGCTGTGTTGAAAAGATCTGTGTTTTTTAAGGGCTTGTCACTTTGGAAAAATAAAGTGATAGTAAGCTGTCAAAATGCTGAGACTGACAAAAAAAAAAAAACAAACTTACGAACTAAGGCAAAACCAACTAGTATTAGTTTGTGGGTTGGTTTTTTCTATTTTTACTGTATTTATCAGTAATTCACATTACCCTGAAATCAAAATTACCATTGTGGTACTGACATCAACTAATAGCATGTTTATTATCTCTCTTTAGTTTTTGGATCAAGAGAGAATTGTGGTTGCTTCATCAACAGGAACTGTAACTGTATTCCGTCATCATCAAAATAACCAGGTAAGTTACTTGCACTGGCTTTAAGCTGCTATTCTGAGTAATGCAGTTTGCTTTGATCTTAACGTAAAATTTTCAAAAGGACTACAGCAAGAAACATCTGCATACCAAAATTTTATTTATTATTTGAAGTCTGTTAGAAAAAACTTTGGCTTTATACATACAAGGAAAGGAAAAGCATTTTGCATAAATTACATAAGTTAGATTCCAGAGCCAGCTAGACTGGGGTGGCTGCTTGTATGTATCTGTAACCAAATAGTCCATTCATTGAAAGCATACTTCAAAAGTCTAGAGTGTTTTGGGAGAGTGGGTATTAATAGACTTGTACTTGCCTTATTAGAGTTTCTGTGCTCATGAACTTAATGATTCATGTTGAATTTCTCTCATGTGAGGAAATATAGGTAAACTCTAGAGTCTTTTGCTTTGATTATAAATTACCACAAATAAATATGTAATAACTTTATAAACTCATAAAGACTAATAAAGATGTACTACCTAAAATAAACTGAATTCCTTGCAGTCTAACTCTGACCATGTATTTTTTTAAAGGCCTTGGTTCTTTTCCCTTGTCCTGAGGAAAGATTGAAGGGATAAACCTAGTGAAACGCATTTCAGAGTTCATAAATCATGTTCTTTCTAATGTCTAGCTTATGTGAAAAAGGGGGTCATAGAGGAAATAATCAATGATTCATTGAAAATTTGTATGCTCAAGAGTTGAGGACAATTTAGATCTCTGATTCTTACTCATATAGAAGAGTCTCATTCCTGTGAGGTAGTGTGGCTTTCCTGGGGCTTGCTTCTGGTTTCCTGAGTATTCTGGAAGCTTTGGTCTATCAGGATTGTTATTTAACAGCAGAACTTCATGTCTGGTTACTATTTAGACTTTATCAGCCAATCAGCGGTGGGAGAAAGCCCATTATCATGTGGATCAAGATACATCTTGTGGTGGAGCAGCATGTACCGGAGTTATCTGCAACAAACCAGAAATTGTCACTGTTGGAGAAGATGGTAGAATAAACCTCTTCAGAGCTGACCAAAAGGATGCAGTAAGAACTATAGGTATGTCAAGTAACTGTTCAAATTAGTGATTTGTTTGGGTTTTAGCTTCTCAAATGATAACAAAAAAGTCAGTTTTGAATTGCACTAAATATTCAAGCTGAACATGTTTGCTCCAGATTATTCCTGTGTTCCTCCAGCCTTCAGATACTTGAAACATATTTCAGATGTATTTCTATATTAATTCAGGTATTTACAAGTAAATGTTTTAACTGATGGAAAAGTTTCAAGCCTGATATTCTCTGGAGGCTTCTGTTTCATCTGGGATTGTTAAATGCTGTGACAGTATACATGAAACCTGGTTAGGTTTCAAGATGTTTTTTGTTCCAAGTTCTTCATAACTGGAGGTCAGTGAAGTGGTTATTTCAATTCACTGTTTGTACTAAGATTAACCCTCATGATGTCTGTATATATAAATATCTGTTTCGCTGTGCCTAAAGGGAACACCAAAGACCATACACCCCCATTCATGCCATGTTCTTCTGCCAGGTATCATGGCTTACAATGATTGTTTCTTACTCAGTGAAAAAGGTCCGTATTTCCTAGAGTAGTAGATTAAATGATGGAGTAAGATGTTTCTGAAAGGTGTCAATACATGGTTATTCCCAACTCTTCTGTCTCATGGAAATAGGATACAAATCTGTAGTGTCTGTTGGAAATGAAACTTAAAAGCAGAAATAATTTAAAGGCCAGTAACACCATGTTTGATAGTGGCATTATTAAACCAGGACCTTCTCCCTGAAGCTTCAGTCTGATACACAGCACCTGTGTTTCTCCTCAAGCAATACCTTTCCTCCAGCCGGCGAAGGAATTCACACGGTGATAAGCCAATTAAGAGAGGAGGCTGGCTGGGATTTCTAGAGGGAATACTGGTGTATGCATGGCCGTATATACACACACCAGATAAATCCTATTAACTGCATACAGTCCGTTACTGAAGCTCCTTGAGAAGCTTCTCTATGCTTTAAAAAAAAAGTAGGGCATGAGGCAGATTTTATTAGCCCATGCACACAAAAGACAGTAACTTCCCCTCTGAGGGGCGACAACATGAACTATCTTAAAAGGATTACTTTATTTGTAAGATTTTTGTTACACACAGATACTAACACAGTGTTTTGGTACAAGTTTGAGAGTAGAATGTTTTGCTGACTCACAGGAAGCAGATGTCCACACAAAAAAAAGTGTATTTTTCTCTGAGCAATTGCTGAGATGCTTAGATATAGATTTGATAATGTGCAGGATGCAAGTTGTTCATTTCCATAGCACTCACTTGATAGTACTGTGTAAAAATGCTTGCTTTGTAGTGGCAGCATCTGTTAGCTTTAGCTGCAGTAAGACTGCATTGAGATTTGCTGGCATTTAAGAAATGATATGTGAATTAATTGAGAAATGTCCTTTTGGAAATGAGAAGGGAAATGTTCAAATAGCAATTAAAATAGAACCTGATAAGTGAAGTTTACCAGGAGTTATGTGGAAGGGCCTAGCACAAAGTTGTTGACTACAGACTGACAGGAAGACTTGGAGAGGGAAAAGAAAACATCTTGGAAGATGCTTTCAGGTTCTTCAGGATGCAGCTCTATAGAGTAAGCAATCCTTTGTGCTGGTTCCCAATTCAGTGACATCTTGACATTTCCCAGGCCCTGAGCTGAACCCTCAACATGTTTTACCATGAAGATAGAACTCTTGTACCTCATGAAATATTTGTAAAGGAGTAACCTGCTATTTTTGTTGTTATTTAATGGATTTCATAGTATAATACAAAATCGATGTGTTTATAGTCAATTGTGGCAGGAAAAAAATCTTCCAAATTAGAGATGAAAAAATCTTTTGGAGCCATAAAGATGCATCACTGCTAAATCACTTTTTTTTTATTCTGTTATAAAATTCTAAAACCTTTATAATGTCAGTGTTCAGTAATCTAACATTCCTTCTTAAAGGTGGTCTGGTGGTTTTCTTCCCCTCAGCTTTTATTTACATAACAGACAGAAAAGAAAACTCAGTTCAAGTATCTGCAACCAGGCATCAGTGTGACTTGTCTGTCTCAATATGGGAAAAGGTTTCCATCTTTTGAAGCCAAAAATTCACCTATGATTTCAGTATGGGCTTCCACAAAGAGTTTTAAAATGTTTGAGATGAAAGTAGACTTAACAGTGTTACCCATCATAATCCAGATGTAAAGTTTATGTAAAATAAGAGAATGAAAATACAAGAAAAAGGTGTCTATGTTCTCTCCTAAAGCCTCTAATGTTTCACCTCAGGCTGTAAAGTGTTTGACATTGTAAATTACTATGTCCAAAAGAAGCACTGGACTAAAGGACCTGAAAAAAAAGCTTTGCTATTTAGTTATTAACAAGCACAGCATAATTCTGGTTTGGCTTTAGGGACAGGGATGAATATCACATGGACAGTTCTTGGAAAAGGTCTAAAGAAAGCTAGTGAATACAAAAGCTTCTGTATGCAACTGCTTAATGTTCTTAGCCAGAGTTCCTGTTTCTTGTATTCAAAAGAACTGCATTCTGAAAAGCTCCATAGCTTGCCTCCTGTCAGTAGGTACAGAGCATATAAAGAAAACTCTTATGAAAACCATGTAAATTGACTTATCTTTTAGGAACTATAGACAGAAATCTTACTGATTGAAAAAGTAGTTCTGTAACCCTGGAGCTAATCAAACATAGCTTCTTACAGATTTGTCTCAGTAGTACTTGATATGGCAAGCAAGGGCTCTGTTTTCACAGGGTACCCTTTACCTTTTAAGACTTAAAATTCACATGACACTAGTCTGTCTCTGTCCCTGAAAATGTAGAGAGGTTGTATCCATGTTTAAGAAGCTGTGTTCTGTTTTCTAAAAAGAGTTATTTGGTCATAATTAAATGGAGACTAGCATTCCATAGGTTTACCTGGATGCTTTCCTCATCTCTCTTGCAGACAATGCAGACAGCAGTACACTCCATGCTGTGACTTTCCTCCGCACAACTGAGATCTTGACAGTAAATTCAATTGGACAGTTAAAAATATGGGACCTCAGACAGCAAAGAAATGAGCCATCTCAAATATTTTCTTTGTAAGACCTTCATTTATTTTTTTTTTTTTTACATATTTACTGAGAAGCTTATGCTACTTTATACAATGTGGTGTGCATCTTTCCTGATACCTTCTTGACAATGGGCTGATAAATGATATTTTTTAAACCAAGGGTTTTAGCTTCTATGGTATTTAAATAATCATAAGCAGACTCTGCTTAATGGCTGAATTACTGTTGTGGCAGAGCACTGTATTTAGGTGGTCTGTTTTATGATTTATGCTTTTTTTTAATGGGGAAAAAAACCCAACCCAAACCAAAACTCTTTCCCTAATTAAATACACTTTGCTTCTGTTTTTCTCTGCAGGCCTAATGTAAAGTTTCTAGCATTTGAAATGTATCTGAATGATAACTTTGCCCTATAAGGTATTGTGAGAAAACAAACTGATCTAGATTGAAATCCTGTTGTCTGTGGAATAATTGCCATTGCTGTTAATAGGCAGTGGTTTAGGTACCTCAAGGTTTTTTTTTTTTTAGTGCCTGTAGTAACTCTTGATGTATGTTGTGAAACCACAAGCATAACATGAATTTCACAATGATATGATTATTGTAGGTATACTTGTCTGCAAGGTTCTCCCACTTCCATATACTTGTCAGATGCTGTGTAGCTGCTCGTGTACCATGGGGCACAGAACCTGTTCTCGTCTAACTTCATATTATTGCCATACCTCTAGTTTCCAGTAGATGTCATGCGGCTTCAGCCTGTAGTGACCAAATGCTACAGGAATTGAAGCTGCAGTCAACCGTTACCTTCTTTGTAAACACTCCGAGGGATTAGGAAGGAGAACACAGAAGCTGAATAAAGAATTTGTGTTTGGGTTGATTTGGTTTTGTCTTTCTTCTCCTTTACAGGACAGGAGACAGAGTTCCACTGCACTGTGTGGACAGGCATCCCAACCAGCAGCATATTGTGGCCACAGGGGGCCAAGATGGGATGCTGAGTATATGGGACATCAGGCACGGTACCATGCCAGTGTCCCTACTAAATGCTCATGAAGCAGAAAGTATGTATCTGAAATGGAGGGAGGAGAAGGTGGCACTTTAGAAAAGTTTATAATTTCTGTAAAAAATTAGGTAGTGTAGCTACAACAGAAAACAACCACATTGTTGCTACTTAGTGAGTTTTCATCCAGTTGCCTTCAGTTTGTTCTTTCTCTGTGTATGCAACTGTTCTTATCTAAAGTAAAACTAGACATAATAAGCAGCTCTTTAATTTAGAGTCATTAGATGCATTTGATCAGAATCACTGTGTTTCTAGAAAGGTAGGTATGTAAGTAGTTATAGAAGTTGATGCTGTGGTATGCAGGCATAGATAGTAAAGCAAGAATGCAGTTACTAACAAACTTGAAAACGCAAGGAAGGAGGGGAAACTGAAGATGGTACAACCCCATCTGGTGTCTCCACAGTGCTGAAACAGCTCACTGTCCTGGTAACATTATATGAACAAGATAGCAATTCATTTTGTGCTAAAAAATTCTTAGCTTGATGCCACAATTCTATTTAAGGAGTAAAAATATGTCTTGGTGTTTTTACTGACTTAAGTATCTTTTCCGTAGTTGTGGTATTTAGAAATAAAATAATAATGTGTGTGCTGGGAAGGAATGCAATGCTGTGTACAGATTTAAACTTAGCAGTAGGGAAGAGTGCATGAGAAATTATTCAGAATGCCTGAATTCAGATAAGATTTTAACTTTTACCAATTTTCACAGTACTGAAAATGCAGCAAATAGTCTTTCTTGGCTGGTTGATTGGGTTTCTTTATCTCCCAGGGGATGGAGGGAAAACTGCTGTAAATAACACATTTAAGAATGGAAGGTTGTGGTGGGGGCCTGGGTTCCTGTAAGTGCATGTCCATGTCATACTAGCGAAAGTGAAGCACTTCATACTTGTTCTGAATTGATTTTGTTTGATTTTGGTTTGATAATTCCAGTGTGGGAAGTTCACTTCCATCCCTCCAACCCTGAACACTTATTTACATGCTCTGAAGATGGATCTCTTTGGCACTGGGATACTTCCACAGACATATCTGAAAAACCCTCTTTTCTTCATCAAGGTAAGGATGTTTGAAGTCAATCTACACTCAGCTTGTCAGTTGGCCACTGAGTTGATGTTCTCATGTGACCCAATTGATAACACAATCCTTATACTGAAAATTAAAAACTGGTTTCTTTCCTTAGAAAGAAAGCCCCGATAGGCACTTCAGGAAAGCTACCAGTAAAACTTGCACTTGTGTGAGGTTTCTGTGGTCTGCTTTGGGTTTTTTTGTTTGTTTGTGGTTGGTTGGGTTTTTTTTAATGTGCTATAATCTGTCCAGTTTGTGAAGGGGCATGTCTGGTATTTCAAAGATGGATCATGTTCACTTAAAAATCATCTGTATATAGAAAAGACATGAAGACAGCCTAAATGACAAATTACTGTCTGAGGCTGAGGGAGGTACACCAGTGTTATAATACCAAAATAATTGGTATGTTAATAGGATAGTGGAATTATTAGTTTACTATTCAAGGTCATAATTGGGATTTTCAAGGAATGAAACTGAATCCCTTTGTATAGTGGCAGGATTTTAATTAAAGATCTGATAGACTTAATAGAAACACTTATTTTCACATTCTAGTCACAAAAGTGCTTAATTGCTTGCCGCTTCAGACTGTAAACAGCTGGGAAACTTTCAGATGTCATCTACTGCCTTTGGCCTCAAAGTTGCTATTCAAAACTCTGTTCTATATAGGGAAACAGGATAACTGACTCAGGATGCACTCTGCATATTTTCAGGTATATGAAGTATAAACCCCTTTTAGCACTGCTTCAGCCACATGCTGATTTTATGCTGAATGATAGTTCTCAAACTGGGAGACTTCAGTTTGAACGTAAAATATTATGTGGAAAAAATTCAGACAAATTCAGGTGTATAACTTACTGCAGAATAAGAAGGGAGAAGAGATGGTAGGGAGTGTTACTAAAGCAAAGCTGATGCCCCAGATACAGCAAAACACTGTAGAAATAGACTTTTGGTTCTGGGTCTGTTCTTGCTTTGGTCTCTGGCTAGAAAAGCTCTTGGATACTTCCACTGTTCAGCAAGATTAGTTCATAGCTGTTCTGACCTATTTGTCTTAACTGAGGACAGAGCTGGTAATAGGTTTCTGTTATCACTTCAAGCACTTAATGGTTTTATTAAGCTGTTTTTAGTTCATTTACCAAAGAGACAACAACATCTGTTAACTATTCTGAAAACTGGCTTAAATGCAAAATATTCGCATTATGTCTGTCCCATACCTACTATGTTTCTCCAAATTCTGAGAATGTATAAGCTGAATTGGAACTTACTTCCCTGTCTTTCCTCTTTCAGGAGGAAGAAGTACTGCCTATTTTTCCCACAATACCATTAACCAGTCTGTAGTAAGTGCCTGGCTGAGCAATGATCCTACCAAAGACCGCATGGAAATCACCAACTTAGTTCCAAATCAGACCTTGTCTGTGAACAGTTTAGATATTTTAGGACCATGCCTAGTATATGGTACTGATGCAGAGGCTATCTATGTGAACAGACAACTTTTTGCATAAAACTACCGAAGTGCCCCTTTGAAGTACTGATCCCCTGGAACTATTTGGAAATGCCAGGTTCATTCTTAATGATACTCATTAGTCTGTTAGCACCGTGTGGGAGAGAGGCAGTCCTGGTACTGCACAAGAAATGTAAAGTACCTTGGATTCTGACAGCTCTCACTCATTACTGATGCTCCAGGATGGGTAACTTATATGTAAACTTGTCATTTCTTCCTTAGTGCCTGTTTGATTTTGGAAAACAGGAAAGTAATCACTAGGGCAAGATACTTGCTGTAAACAGATCTCCATTATACACATATGCATACAAAGCAAAGAAAAGGTAAACCCCTGATTTTTATTATAACTTTTTTTCCTGGTAAAGATATTTTTCAAATATTATTTCTAAGGTCAGACTTTGGGGTTCTTTGAAATTCTTTTTATGTCACCTGAGATTTTTTTAAGCTGAGTTTTTTATATATTTAGGGGAACATAACTTTTTATGTCAGTTCATGAGAATTGGAAAGCTGTTAAAGCTGTGAAATGTGAAAGGTTCTGTAGGAATCTTAACATTTTAGTAATATTATTTTGGATTATTTACAGCTTCATCATGGATGTTGCATGTTAAAACTAGACCTTGATAACATGCCACTATGTCCCTCAACAGAAACGTGTTTTTTATAGCTAAGAGGTCATAATTGACAGATGTGTCAGCTGTGATTGCGGGAGTGAGAACAGTTTCTAAACTTGAGACATGGTCTTTGTCATGGTCAACGTTTCACATCTGGTTTGTTGCAATGTTTGAGAAGTTAAATTTTATGATGAGCGTGGCACCTGTTTTGTTGCAGAGAACCCCTTCTCTTTTTAATAAAGAGTTTTGCACAAGAATACTGGTTTGACTTACTGAACTGGGATAGATGTACTTACAGTCATCTTAGCAGGAGGGTAAGTAACCATCAGTTACTTGGACTGATCCTGGGGGATACAAGCTGAAGGACGGAAAGAAACCATCCCAACCAACCACAGATGTGAGCAGCAGCTATGTTACAAGGTTTCCCATGACTTTTTCCATCAAAACTGCTTTAGAACATACTTTACTTCCACGTCAGCAAGAACACGCCTTCTTGATCTGTTGTGGTAAGAGTGCCTTACCTGATCTGAACTCCTTGCATGTGTGGCTGGAGGAGATGGTGTGCTGGCGACGGGGCTCTCACTTCCCTCGTACAGGGCTGTATGGAGATGCCGCTGTGTTTGAAATGCCACGCTCAGCCTGAAAACAAACGGGCGAGGTGCATCCCGGAGGAGTAAGGGGTGGGTAATCCTTCCTGGCGCCTTGCACATGTCGGTCCTTCATTGCGGCATTATCCGGCTCACGGAGCCTCGGCAAAACTGTTCCCCGATGGAAAATCTGTGTTTATCCATCGAACATAACTCTGCCACAGAAAAACAGAAGCAGTGCCGGAAGCCTGGCAGCGGCGGGGGGGTAGGCGAGGGGGACTCTACTGCGGTCCCACCGCTGCCCGAGATGGCGTTGCCATTCCCGGTGCAGCTTCAGGCCCTCGGCTACCTCGGCTGGTGGCCGTCAAGCTCCATCCGGGTCGGGGTTGCGCGAGGGGGGGCACCAGCCGCGCAAGGCAGGCCGGGAGCTGCCCATATCCGGGAAGCCCTCCGCGGCTTAGACACGGACAAAATGGCGGTGCCGAACTGAGAGGCCCGTGGCGGCGGCGGCAGGCGCTGGCGGAGGGATCGAGGAGCCGCTGCCGGCATCGCGGAGGGCCGCGGCGGTCGTCGCCGCGCGGGCGGGGCTGAGCTTTGTGCGCCCACGCCCGGCCCTGGGGCGCTGCCGCCGCCGCCGCTGCCTTCTCGCCGCAGGTAGGTTCTTTGCGCTGTGGTGGCCAAGGAGGGGCGGCGGTGAGGCTGGGCAGAGGCCGCTGGCCGGGGACGAGAGGCCGAGGCGCGGCCCAAGCTCGGGTATGAGCGAGCCTGTTCCTGCACAGCAGCCCAGGGAGAGCTGGGCCCTTCTTGCGCTGCCAGGAGCGGGCGGGACGCGGCCGCGGGAGACGTTGCCGGCTTCGGTTCCCTTGCTGAGGGTTGGTGTTTCGGGAGGGGCAGCGGGGCCCTTGCGCCGCCGCCGGGAGAGTATTCCTCTGGCCCTGCGGTGGTGCTGGGCCCCGCCGGCCAGGACGACGAGGATAGGACTGGCTGTGTGGGGAGCACAGCGCCGCTGCACCAGACCGCCCTCGGGTCACGGCCTGGGGCTGCCTGGGCGGCAAAGCGCGGTGTCCCGATGCAGTGGTATGGAGCGGGGATACGCGTTGCTGTTGTATGCCCGGCGCTGCAACACTGCTGGGCCAGCTGGCTCTTGACGCGGTGCTGTGGTGCAGGAGTCGCCTTGGTACCAGCTTGTGCCAGCGCAGCGCACACTTTCGTCCTCGGTCACTGCCCTGCTGTAGCCGTAAAGATCACTCCTGTATGCGCTAGAAATCTGCCGCGGCTACTGGGAATAACCGGGGATGTGTTTGTCCATGAGGGGAGCTGTATCCTGTTCAGGGAGATAGCAGAATGTAAAAATGGAAACAAGCAGGGCAAACACACAGTGTTCCCAGTGTTTAGCTAGCCTCTGGTCATTTCCAGCTCAGTTTCCCCTGACTCTGTGTAGTTGTGTTCATTTGCTAATTTCAGGGTCCACTTTTCTCCTCATCTGATGGAAACTTTTAGCGTTGGAAATTCATCCTGTGGCAAATCGCTTTATGGCTCAATGACCTGCTATCTGAAGAACAGCTTCTTTTTGTTGGTTTGAACCAAGCCCCTGCAGACTTGATTTTACGTCTCCCAAATTCTTTGTTGTTTCATTCCCCCCCCCCCCCCCCCGAACCCTGCAGACTTGATTTTACATCTCCCAAATTCTTTGTTGTTTCATCCCCCCCCCCCCCCCCCCCCAGTAAAACATTGTGATTATGTATAAAATAACTTACTACAATAGTAGATGAGAGATAGAACCAAAATAGACTAATGTGCAGCATCCCATGCTTGGTTGGAAATATGTGTGTTTAAAAGTATGTTAAAAACCTTCTGTAGATGAGAGATGTTACAGATCCATTACAAAGCTATGTATTTTCCGCAGAAGAACTTGGAAGACATTAACAGTTGCATGCAGCCATTCTGAGTTTTCATTCAAATGCCATTTTTTAAGTCCAGTCTTTCCTGATTGTACTGTAAAAATAAAAGTTTGGGTTTTTTTTTCTTGGCAGTTTGACTTGTAGAGGAAATTACTTTATCCCGTATTTTGAAAAATAACTGGAAAATTATTTTTTTTTTTATTACTTTAGGGAAGTGGAGAGCTTCAGCAGCAGAAACAGCTGCATTAACAAACAGATCTATCACACTTAATGGTACAAAACTGCAAGGGGGAAGAGATGTCAGTTCTCTTAGATACAGTTTCTGGTTGCTAGTTAAGAGGTACAGAATTGAGATGGATTTGAGATGGATTTCTTCCTGAGCAGTCAAAACTTTCTTGCTTTAGAAGGTATGTGAATATCTGTAAGAGGAGGTGGCTTCTGAATTTTGAGGCTTACACACAAAGCAAGGTGAACTGTAGTAATAATTGCCATTTTGCACTTCATTTAATGGGAGCACCTATTCAGTTGGGTTTCTGAGCAATTAAGACTGTAGTTTTGCATGTACATCAAACTGCTGTTACCCATCACTGATGCCAAAAGAAACAAACCACCAAGAAAATGTTACTGTTTTTTATCTGGGTATGTCCCTCAGCTTGATTCACTCTTTATGGCCTTACAAACGCTTATGCTGGCAATGGTAAGTGGTGGGAGACAAGTGGACTGGCCAGGTTACACTGGTAAATCCCTGCTTCTGCAAAAAAAATTATGTGAAAGTGCAGCTTTATTTTCCAAGACTGCTTAGACTTGGAAATATCCCGTCATGCTGCAATTGCCAGCAGAGTAATAGCTATCAAACACTTGGAGCATCCCTGTCTTAAAGTTCACAAAGCACCTTAGAAAGAAATACAATTCTCTTAGCTTTCCATCTAAAGAAATGGGAGCACAAGCTGATTGTGCCCTCCCTCAGTGGTAGACTCTTGGTCTCCTCATTGTGGTTTAAGTGTCCTGTTTATTTAACCTTGATTTCTCTCAGGGGTGTTACATTTGTTTATCTCAGCTACCTGTGGTGTAACCATAAAATGAATATTGAAATGCCAGATGATGTTATGGTGAAATACACAGTGCAAAACAACTGTTTTCTCCTGAATTCCAAGCCTTGGAACTTGTTGAAAGGAATAACTTGGATTTTATTTTTTTTTCTCTCTGGTATGTGTATGGCACAAGATCAATACCAACTGTTTTATTTAGATTGATAATGGTGAACTAGGCATCACGCCTAATATTTATTTAATTTGAGCAGGTAATCTAAATTACTAAGCCTTGTTGTCTTATGTTTTGGGATGAGTTTATGCTAGAGGTTTCACATTTCTGGAGGTAGCAGTTCTTTCGTTGCTAACATAGATCCTCGCACTTGGGTATCCAGCACATGTTTTGAAGCAGGTCACTTGGAAAGAAAAGGAACATCCATAGCAAAACTAGTAAAATGGTCTAAATGTAGTTACTTGGAAAAAGTGGTTTTGACCAAATATTTTCATGCGGTCTTAAATATGGCCTGTTTTGAAAGTGGACAAAATTAAATTACATTTTAATTGCTCTCATGCTGTACTTTCTGCTGAATCCAGATTTCTTAATGCTTTGAGCAAAACTTCACTGTTTATTAATAAAATTCACTTATGTCTGTTGATTTTTCCTTACTCAGTGAGCACTGAAGAATTGTATGTTATCAGACTGCAGGAAAAAACGTAAATGTACTTTGGTAGTTATCGTAATTTGAGGTTTCAAACCATCACAGGTCAAAGAAAGCACTTAAGATAGTTCCATTAGAGAAACTGTTATTTCTGAAGTGGATCTCCAAGGGGAATGGGACTAAGTGGGCTTTCCTCCCTTGTGTTTCTTTTCATAGTCCTTATTTATATATTACTTCAAGCTTTCAGGCTTTATTAATTTATGGTAGCATGTGTGCTTAATTTACATAATTTGCATATGTATTAGACATAGAGTTCTTTTTCCTGTTAATTTGTTGTCTTATTCTTCCTCAATATTTTAGTAGTAAAAGCTGGATGAAGAGGATGACTTTTGTGTAGACTGTGTAGAACTTACGCACCTGTTTAATTTGAGAAACATGAGCTACATCTTTGAGACAAAAGGTGCAGACATCTGAATCATCAAAAATAATCCTTCAAAAAACTAGGAATGCAGATTTTAGCGCCGTGAGAAATAGAAACAGGACATTAAAACCATTTCAGTATTGCTATTGTTAGACTATAGCAAATGTACAGTGTTAGTTGAGCTTTACTGTTCCTCTAGTTGCTTGTGAAGAAGAGACAGTGCTGAAATGCAACATTTTTGTATCTTGTGCTATGTTAGTAACTGGTCTTCATGGAGTAGTAGAGACTGCAAAAGTTCTATTTTGTGATACTCTAAAGAGGCGAATGCTCTGTAACGTTTTCAGTGATCCACCTTAGTTGCGCTATCCTTTGCCTCACCACTCACACGACTGACTAGTGCACAGCACAAATGTGGACTCAGGTTCTCTGCAGACAAAGGGTTCTTTCCCTGATGAGTCAGTGCCTTCAAAGTGCAAACGCTTTTTATTTGGTTTTGGCAGAAAGTTCCCTTTCCCTTACCAAATGTCACAGCTATGCTCTCACTGAATTTGATGCTTGAGTTGTTAAACAGTTTTACAATGAAAAATTTTGATTAAATTTTCTTTGTTTTCTTTCTCCCTGCTCTCATTGTAAAATAAATTAAAAAATAACTATTGATGAA